CACATTAATTTCTCCTGAACAAACATTCTTAAATCCAACAAATGTTGAACCTAAAACATAAATAATAGAAAAGTAATTATTTTCTCTGAAGAAAGTGGTAAAATCAGACTTATTTTATGCACATTCCATCAAACACATCCTTTGCCACTACCCACTGTTTGTGGTAGACTGTTGCCTCCCAATATCCACACCACTGGGGAATCTCCTCCCACATTTTCTCTGGGTTTGACCGTGTGACTTGGTTTGGCCAATGGGACAAAAGCAATCATGGCATAAACAGAGATCTGGAGAGTGCTTGCATATTAGAGCTTGCTCTCTCTTGGTGCTGCTGGGAATTGTGTGACTTCCAACATGTGAGTAAGCCTGGAATACATGTTGCTCAATCATTCCCATCACTCCAGCTAATGACCAGCACCAACTGTCAGCAAGCACCAACCACCAGACATGGAAATAAGTTTATCCTAGACCAACCAGCCCATAGCCATCCTGTAAACTGATGACACTTAATGAATAGGCCCAGGTGAGACCAGCAGAAAAACTACCCAGCTGAACAAAGCCCAAATTGACAATCTTCAGACTCATGACCTAATAAATAATTGTTTAAAGTTTCTAAATTTGGGGGGTGATATGTTATGCAGCAAAAGCTAACTGGAATACTATTTTTCTCTTGGCTTATTTACATATACTATGTGGCCAGAAGATAAAATTGATTGGATCCAAAAACTTAATCTCCATTATACTTAAAATCCAATAGCACACAATAAAGAAAAGCAAAAGGTGATCTCCAAAATTCTTAAATCACTTATATACTACCTATGACCCTTCTTAATTATATTTTCTCCAAAGAAGAGATTATATACATAAATATGAACCTGTAGATGAGTATTAAAAAAATACCCCAGTAGCAGATGCTGTTTGTATCCTGCCCAGAATCCCTTTACTGGGCCAGTGTACCCTACCCCTAGCTCTTCCCGTAAGTGTTGGATGAAAGTCACTCAAAGATGCTGTCTTCTCTAAAGAACTGCCCTCAGCTACTTGAGAGCTCCCTTGCCTGAGAGATTATGTACTCCCCACCACCACCGCGAGTAGCCATGCCTGACTGACAGGAAGTATGGAAGACCCCTTTGCCTCAATGTGGGGAAAATATGTGGTACAATTTATGCACCACAGCTCTTGAAGAATCAGTGGGAAGCTGGACTCCAGTTGAGGCCATATCCTTGCTTAACTCCTTCCCCTGTCCTATATTCTTCTTCCCTCAATCCCTTTTTCCTGAGAGCACACCTTCACTAAACCACTGACATAAGAATTCCACTTCTGGTTCTACTTCATGGATGCCTTGAAGAAAGAAAATGAAAGCTGTGGTAATCAAATCACAAATTCAAAGCAAAGCTCGGGATCTAATTGTAAGGTTAGCAGAACTTCATTAACTTAAAAGATGGCTGAGTTCTCAGCCCTAGCAAGCCTCCTACATCAAAGACAGGGCCCTGATAGAAAAAGAGTGGGATGCTAAATTAGATGGGAATATATGAAAAGATGTGCTTGAACCTTGACATCTCAGAATGTGCTAAAATGCTCTGGATGTGTGTAAATGGTCTACTCTCTCTTATAAGAGAATAACTTCCTGCTTCACTTGCTTGAAATCATGCAGAGACCTAAAAAGAGGCAGATGCTTTATAAGACAAATCTCACCCTTCACAGGACCTGTCCACAGGGAAGTATACAACAGTATGGCTAGTTCTAATACTTTTCTGGGATGGCTTTTGGAAGCTTGAAATAGTGATAGCCCACATTAAGTGAAGTAGAATTGCTCAAATTTCTATACCATATTCTAAAAATTGGGGATTGTCAAAAGACTTACAAAAATGGGGATATTGGAATGGATCTATTATATAATGTTAATGCATTTCAGCCCCACTCTGAGGTGGCTTTGAATGAGTGTGGTGTGGAAAGATCCTTCCAATGAACAGAAATTTTGGTAGTATAAGGGTCATCTACTTTGTGTGCAGAGAGAGATGGTCTGAGGTAAGGATAAATATGGACTCATGGGCAGTAGCAGTGGCATAGCTGGTTGGTTAGGAGCATAGAAGGAACTAGATTGGATGTACAGTAGAAAGCATGTAGATGGAACTGTGGAAGTGGGTACGAAAGGCATGTTATTGCCTACCAAAGAGCATTCAATACAGAAGAATCCCTGAAAAACCAAACGGACAAGATGATTTGTGTAATAGATATCAGCTAATCTCTGTCGTCAGCCACCCAGTGCTTGCACAACAGGCTTATAAACTGAGCAACCTTAGTGGTGGAAATAGAGGCTATGCATGAACCCAACAGCACGCACTTCTTTCTAAGATTCAGTGAAGTGATGGGTATCATTTATGGTCTAGGGACAAGCTGTGGCAGTATGACCATGAACCTTCTTAATACTACTTCTCCCAGAAACTGTGACCATGTAGAATCCTGGAGAAATCATGTCCTGATGAAATAATCTTAATATAATTAACTTCATGAAAAAGCAAGTGGACCCAAGTGATCCCAGGAGTAGATTGAAGTGTATACAGGCTGGCACACCCATCTTCCATCTCTGGCAGTACTGGTTGCTGATAGCTCTGTCTGCCCTCTTTTCCAGAGAATTGGCTTAGCCAAATGGGAACCACATCACCCAAGAAATTAAGGACCTCCCTACAGAGAGGGACAGCTGTAACCCCAAACTGACTAAGATGGGGATACAAATCTCTGCCCACCTCCACACCGCTGGCCAAATGTGAGATCAACTTAGTGGCAATTTACATTCCAGAGTTCCCCAGTGCCATCAAGTAAAGCTATTTTTCCAGCGTATACCACATCTTTGCTTAGCAATTTCCCTTGCCCTATCCTGCTTCTATCCCTTTCTCCTGAGAGCATTCCTTCAAGAAACCACTTACACAAAAATTCTCATCTAAGGTTCGGCTTCTAAGGAATCCAACCTAAGCTAATCATCTTTTGTATGTTATCTTTAAAGATTATGTCTTATGAAAGAAGAACAGTTATTTGTGTTTTTCTAAGAAATTCCACATCAAGGTTCCTTTTCATGAGGACATTTTCATTGCTATATGATATTTATAATATTCTGTAGCATATTTTTTATTGAAAGCAACATATGTTCAACTAAAACCTATATAGCGTGTTGCATAATTTTATCCAAGGGTATCATCATTATAAGTAACACTGAAAAATCATGGTTATTTGTTTTACATTTCTGGCAGCTAAAGTTATGAGGAATATGTTAAAACTTAGATGTTTAATTTATTGAACAACTTTCTTCCAAGAAACAGTGGTTAAAATTATCACTGGGAGACTTCGTAAGCTAAAATAAAGAATGGCACAGTATATTTAATAGGAAAAATGAAAATAATTGATGTGTTCACTACATTAATTTACATATAATTATTTTACATTTCTAAGGAAGCAGCCTTGGTTCAGTGAAAGAGCAGTGGAGTTTAAGTCAGGAGATTGTGATTCTAATCATAGCTCTGCCAATAACTGGGAATTTGACCAGACACTTAAGTACTATGAGCTTGAAGTTCTTCAGTTGTAAAAGGGGATAGTAATATATAATCCTTCATATACGAAAGGGCTTTTACAAATTATACAAATTAATTAATTTAAATCACTATACCACTGCTGTTGTTTAGA